CATTGTAATCACACTACAAACAGGCATAGCTATGATACATGAAATGCTACATATATATGGCCAAGTTTGTTATGATAGGAGTGGAATTTGTAATTTTAATGGTGCTCCAGTGAGTTTTCGTGGCCTTCTCTTTTTAGATACTATCCTTATTTTCATAATGTAGTTGACGTATAACTCATTTTAGGAGTTGAAGAAATGGATTGTCCATATTCTGTTTGCTTACTTGGGCCTTTATTATGTATTTTCTAATGAATATCCAAGGTTGAACACCACCGTGTAAGAAGCAACATGGTCTTCTAAGATCCTTGCACGGGGCCAACTAAAATCAAAGCTTTTCCCTGATTATTCAAGCCCTTGAAGTAAATTATCTACTTCATCCTTATTTTGCCATTTTTCTCACAGTTTTGTTACTTAAATAAGTGATTGCCAAAATTCTCTGATCATACACATCTAACAATAAAAATGAGCAAGTTTTACAGGGGATATTGTCAGTATATTTTATTTATTGTTTATTTATATCAACTAGTATGATTATATATTTATAAATTAATGCATAAGCATAGCAATTACTAAAGGGTAAGGAAAAGCATAGATATAAATGGAATTTTCAGTATTTTCCTTCTGCTGTCCATCTTTCACGCACTTTGTTGGAATACTCCCTGCCTGAAAAACACTAGTATAAAGTACACTTATTACTGAACACGGTGTAACAGCAGAAGACCAAACCTAGTAACAAGCAAAATAATCTTTCTGCACCACCTCAAACACATACATGTGTGCATGTATGTCAAATCTTCAATTCTACGTTTTTGTCTTTTATTAAGTCAATCTATTGTCTACTCATAGATCTTAAAGGGTATTTGCAAAAATGCAACCCAATGAAAACAATTTGAAGGAGTCATATCTCAAACATTTATATTATAGAGATAGTGTCCTTACTGTTAAACTTTTGGGCATAAAAAGTCAATTATTAAGATGTAATCTTCAAAAAAGGGAATCTTTTCTATGAAGGGTTTGTATATGCATGTGGGGGGGGGGTCTGCCTAAGGAAATCGTATCAATTTATCTCAATTTTACACTTAAAGGTTTCTTGTTAAAGAAATACTAAGACTGCTAAATAATAACAATGGCTTATATTTATAATCGTTTGCTTCATTTAATTTTCATGAACAGCACATGAGGTAGATTCAGTTAAAATTTTCAGTTTACAGATGATGAAACTGAGGCATGAACAGTTTAAGCTCATTGTTCGTTTATCTTTCCACAAATGTTTTTTCACAATGTGCCTTCAGAGCGCACACTGTGAAAATTTATTTTCTTGTTTATAATTTCAACTTTTATTTTAGATTAAGGGATATGTGTGCAGGTTTGTTACAGACACAAATTTTTAATGATACTTAATTTACAATATAGAGTTATTTAAGGGAGATTGCTACAGTATCCAATGAGAAACGATATTTTGTTTCACAGAGTTTAAGTCTAGCTTGTCCAGCCTGTGACCTGGGAGCCTCCTGTGGCCCAGGACAGCTTTGAATGTGGCCCAACACAAATTCCTACAGTTTCTTAAAATATTATGAGATTTTAGTTTTTTGTTTTGTTTTGTTTTGTTTTTTTAGCTCATCAGCTGTCATTAATGTTAGTGTATTTTATGTGCAAAGATAATTCTTCTTCTAAAGTGCCCCAGGGAAGCCAAAATATCAGACACTGCTTATTAAGTGTTAAATATGTATTTTTAGGATGATTTGGCAACTGGTTACGCTGTAGGCCAGTTTACCTTCAGATCACCTGAGTAGTCAGAATGCCTCCTCAGTTGACCAAGCCAGATGGAAACATGCAGGCCATGTCGGCTGCTTTCTTCCCACTGTCTCATTGCATAACCTATCAACTAGCAACCTTTAAAAAAAATTTTTTTTGACTCTTGTACAGTATTTCTGAGTGGGTACTCCTAGTATTTGGAGATGTAATTCTCTTATTTGCAGGGAGTATACCACTTATTTCAACAACTTCAGCCTTCCACTCACTAAATACTAGGAATGACTTTCCTCAGTCCAGATGTGCAACTCTCCCTGCTAGGGAAGTTGCCACCAAAGTTGAGAACCGCTGCAGTAAGGAGAGGATCAAGATCAGAGTTTTGGGAAAGTGTACATGTTTTGTGCCTTGAACTTGCAAAGGCTGGAGAAATACTCTTATGACATATAAAATCGAATTCATATTAAGAAATACTCCACAGAATGTAACGAAAAACAAAATACTCATGGAAATGGACATTACACCTACCACACATTTTAGGTTTCATTTACTTTTTAACTACAATATAATTGATTAATAAATTCTACAATTAGCTAAAAGAAAACAGGCGGAGAGAGTTAGCAACTTGGGCAATTGGGAAAACCAGACTAAAACTAATTTATATCAAATCCCAAAACTTAACACCTGGTGGATTAAGAAACAAGGGAATTATAACAAAGAATTGCTATTTCTCCAGTATAAATTGTGAAAACTTACACCGTTAGTGTTTCATGCAATCTCTGTTGATATAACTGACCTTAAAAAGAAAAATAAGACATTACTATCACATAATATCCTCACCTGAATATATATTCATGTACCCCAGTATTTCTATTTTGTTTGTTTTTTCAGCTTTGAAAAATGACAGTTTCTTAAGGAAGAGATGCCACAATAGATGAAAGACCTTTTTACCCATGGTAAAGAAACACAGCAAAGCCATTATGAATGATGGTGGAAACTTAGGCAGATGAAAGCTGCTATTAAATATGACAGGCCGTCACAACAACAAAAACAGTAATCAATGCAATCATAACAATAAAATAACTTTTGTATTGATTTCCTTCAAAAAGTTAAAATAATGGGCACCTTGTCTAAGTTAACAGTTTGGATAATATTGGCAAAAACAGGAAAAAGATAAGAATCTCAATGTGCAACATATTAATGTTATCTAGAGCCACTACTCTACATATTTTTATTTTGCTTCAAATTTTCTTTAATTTCATCTATATCGTTTTTTCTTTGCTGTTCATTTCTATGTTATTATTTTTCTTTATGATCTAATATTCTGGAACTGAGTTTCCTATGACTTGGCTTCCATAAATCCATAATCAGCTAAAATTGCATTATTTGAGCTTTTCACAGCATATAATAAAATCTGCATTTGTTGTCATTATTTTCCCTGTTGTAACAATACCATTACTCTTGCAACTGTAAACAAGACTGCAGTATAAATATATGATCACTCCACTTGGTATTCAATGAAGCACCTTCATTAGGAGCGTTTTCTCAGACAGTGATGGAACATTGCAATGTGGAAAATGCCTTGTGTGGGAGACACTGCGCAGAGATATAGCAACTTTGTGTTCAATGAGAAGCATCCCGTGCATTCACAAGGAAGTCAGTTTCACTGCTCCTTGAAAGTGACCTCAGAGCACTTTCTGACCACCGCTTGGCATTCTCGCCCTGTCTCTCAAGTTTAAGAGACTCCGGCTCTTCCTTATAGGACCCTTTCACTAAAGCTCCGTAAAATCAAAACCAAACGAGTTTATTCACTGTATTTAGTTTTCTTTCTAAGCTTCCTTTAATCCAGTGCACACCTATGGGCCTCCCCAGTTAAAACACACCTTGTAACTTTGCTCTTTCATGAAAACATTTCTGAAGATCTAAGAGACGGGAGCTTTTCTTTACCAATAACTTTCTCTATGGATGCAAGATACATATGGTGTACCAAGTTCCTTTAATTCTGACCCAAGTTCAAAGAAGCCTCAAATTTTAACTTATTTTTGGTGGAGAATTTGTGTCAAGATACCAAGTGAAGTCTCTTCACAAACACAGAACTTGCTAAATCTGAGCATGAAAGGAAAACTCCAGGGTTCAACATGTGAAGCTATGTAGCCTGAGGCGTTTCAGAGTGGCTGAACAAAATACATTCCTTACAACCATCAGTGTAAATTATTTGTTTTTTTTTGGGGGGGGAGGGTGAGGGGTTTAGTGCAATTTTTACCTTTGATTGGCCGTATCAGTTACCAGTGATGCCCGTTCACTGATACTGCAAGTGTATTAAATTTTCTCATGAGTGATTTTTAGTATCTTGAAGTTAAGATGCCGAATTATAATGTTACTATTGCAAAGTGCGGGGTTTCTAACTCATATTCAGAGGACAGTAATCTCGCAAATAGGAATGTATTCATGATTTATTTTTATTCGAGGGTGGGAAGAGTTTGTCCTGGTAGTTACCAAACACGTGGCACGGCTTCTCCTCTGTTTGTTGGTCTAAAATGAACATTTTTAACTAGATGATCTCTAGACTGTTTTCAGTTCTGACATTCTTTTATTCTATGATTCATTATATGATTTTATGGATAAATTTCCAAGCTGCTTACTTTTTCTTTGCTTTACTTAAAAATGAAAAAGCATATGGTTTTACCTTTGCAAACTCTCATGTCTTGTCTCTAATAGAAAAGTATAACAAATTAATAATTGTGTACATCAATTTTCCTGTCCCTGTTGCAAAAATATGTAATTGCTGCATGATGTAAAAGTTTTCCTTATTTTAAGCACTAATAGAGGTAGCCCTAAAGTAAAAGGACTGCTCCTGTGGATGCAGCATGTATCAGATCTTATGGTGGCTATTTTCTGTGTGCCTGTAACTGACGTGGGCATGAATTCTGCAAATAAACGACATCAGTGACTAGCATTAATATTCATTTTATTATTCAGTAGCATAGCTTTATGTTCTAAATGTAAGTTTAGAAATTTTATCTAGCACTCTGATGCTTCTAACCCTCTTTAATTGTAACTAGTTGACTAGATTTCAAGAAACTAGGTGGATTTTATAAATGTGTGAGTAAAACTGCATTCCATCCCTTTAATTTTATAACTTCTTTGTAAAATTTGCTGTCTTTGTTGATTTTAGGTTTTATTCCATGTAAATGATCAACAGTTTTCCATAAAGAAGACTTTGATTAATGTCAATTTTTATCTCTTAAAAGGATCCTTCCCGGCCATTGGGGTGGAGGCGCTTTGCCCCAGCTTCCTGAGGGCAGGGTTTTTAAATAGCATCCAGGCCCCGCATCCAGTGCCAGGGGGAGGATCTTTGCCCCCCAGGATTCCTGCTGGTAGGTATTTCAGGTGATGTTTTCTGCCACCACATACAGCAGTAGGACTGAGCTCGTAGTTAATAGGCCCAAAATACAAAATGAGTATTTCTTAAATGTATTGTGGAAGAGAAATACAAGTGACTTCTTAAATGCAAGGACCATGTTGACAATACCTGATGCTGTGAAAATGACACAAAGGAAATGGAAGAAGGATTTGGATTTGGAGCGCCCGATTCACACAGTGCTGCCGCCTGTTCTGAGAAAGCTTTTACTTACATAATAATCGGAGCTTCAGATCCAAAATATGTAAATCAAGAATAAACAAGGATGGACATCAGACACTGTGCCACTGGGAATTGGCCAGAAAAGTGGATTAAAAATTAAGTGTTCTTGACAGAAAGAATAATTTTATGGAGTTGATAGAGAATTAAAGTATCCTTTCATTGTAGAAAAATGATTTGAAGAAACCAGAAAGCAGCAACCTGAAAGACATTTTTAGAATAAAACTTAATATGCATTCCTTCCTAAAAATGCCAGTCTGAGCAAAGCCATATCTTATTGAGAGAAACAAAATATACAATTGAGCATTTAAAAATGCAATTTCAAATTTACTCAAACACTTTGCAGATCATCCATGACATGATTTTAATTACAATTTGTTTCTTCCCGGTCATTTAGTGAAATATTCAGCTACCTTCCTTCATTGTGCCTAAAGGACGCAATCTTACTTTACATTTCATATGTGTCTTAGCAAAATGGAATTCAAATATTGATTCTTGGGGTTTTAAAATCATATCTCTTGTGATTTTTTTATTACAACTAATAATGATACTAAATATGATTGTAATGACATCACCATATTCAGGACATCTGGCCCAGCCTGCAATTTAATGGGAACACTTGAAAAGAATGGGAAATCCAACACAAACAAAACCCCCGACGATGCACGTTGCTCATCCTTGTTAGCATAATTATACCAACAAATCATTATACACTGATATTTTTCCTTTGCCTTTCAGTTACTCTTTTGTACTTTATTAAAACATATAAATATGCTTTGATGTCATTTAGCTTCATTACTACATAATTTATTGATGTGGTTACTTTGTGGCCAAGAATAGAGTAGAAGCCACTGATAGAATAGAAGCCAAAATTACACAAATTAAAAGATTATAAATATTCACTTTGTTGGGTCACGTTACCCTTTATCTCCCTAGAGACAGAAATTATACCAGTCGTACAGAAATGTTGTTGTTGTTGATATTGTGGCAAAGGATTAGAAAGAAAAACTGTAGAAGCCAAGCTCTGAGTTAACTGCAAATATAAACATGTAGTTTCATATATAATTAATGTCTCAGTGATTGGAATTTAGAAGATGAGCAGATTATGTGGAATTTAATGACCTAACCCTTAACTCATAATGACAAATCTTGGTCAAGTCAGATATGTTTGGCAGAAACGACATTGCAAAGTTTAGTAGTGACTTGAATTATTCAATATCACTGTTAGAAAACAAACAAACAAAAAACCTGGTCATTTAGCTACTGAGAATGACAGAAGCAAGATGATTGTTCGCTAACACATACAGAAACAACTTTCCAGAGAAGGCGCTAAAAGAACATTCTAGCACTCTGTTCTTCTAGGCTTTAAGCCAGATTTGCCTGGAGCTTTCATAGGAGAGAAACTCAGTTCAGTTTTCATGACTTACATACAAATCAGGTGAAACAAAATTGCTTCATAAAAAATTTATAGATCCAAACTTGTCCCTGTTTCTACAAACTGAAATTAACTCAACACACTTTTCCCGGCTTATATCATTTTGATAAGTCATTTCTATACATTTTGTGTGACACTATTTGGTAATGACTGCTACTATTTCAAAGTTTTTTGCTTTTTTTTAATCCTTTCTGGTTCAACTGTAGCTTATTTCCCAAGATTTTTTTTAAAAATTTTGTGTGAAGCAGAATGAAGCAGTAATCATGAGAGGTTTTTATTGTTTTATACATATTTTAAAAAAACTGAATGTTTCTTTGCCATCTAATAGCTGAACTAACACACTTCAGGCTTCAGACATCAAGTCGAAGGCAGCAAGTGTTTCCTCCAACAGCCCATACTACGACACTTTAAATACTCAGCTGAAGGTTGATGCCCGCTAGGCAGCAGTTAAGTCACTATCTACCAATTGATTATCTGTCACAGTACTTTGAGGGTCACGTAAGACATTCTCTGTATCAGTCAAGAAATTTAAATACCTATTCTAGTGCTAATTTAGTTCCCAATTACTTATCGTAATCAAATTTAAAAGAGATACATGACTATGTCTTGTATATAATAGTTTTTTGCTTCACGTCACACTGTGCTATTAAAGAGCAATAGTTCTGCAGTACTTACTTTTACACTAACTATAATAATAAGAGATTCCTTGAATCATGAGACCCAGAAAGCAGACAAGCCTTAAATTAGTATTTATGCAACAGTTGTCAACTGTTTATAAGTTTTCATTTCTAAAAAAAGTCATAGTAAAGGGTTATTATTCTTAGTTTCAGATGGAGGAAAACACCAGGAAGTATTAGCTGAAAACTGAGTAGCAAGTATATTAATATATTTAATGGAATGCATTTGTATAGTAGTCACCTGATACAGGAAGAGATCACAGGAGGCCAGGGTGGTGGCTCACTCCTGTAATCCCAGCACTTTGGGAGGCTGTGGTGGGTGGATCACCTGAGGTCAGGAGTTTGAGACCAGTCTGGCCAACATGGTGAAAAGCCATCTCTACTACAAATACAAAAAATTAACTTGGCATGGTGGCAGGTCATCCCAGCTACTTGGGAGGCTAAGGCAGGAGAATCATTTGATCCCAGGAGGTGGAGGTTGCAGTGAGCTGAGATGGTGCCACTGCACTCCAGACTGGGCAACAAGAGCAAAACTTTGTCTCAAAATAAATAAATTAATTAAAAGAAAATCACAGGAGAGAAGAGGAGAGGAGAAGAAAGGGAAGGAGAAAAGAAAGGGGAAAATGAAGGAAGAGGATGGGGAAGGACAAGAGAAATTAGAAATGACGTGACTCTTAAATTATATTTTTTAAAGGAAAGTCTTCCTCCACTATATTTATTTCTAATTAAATTAAATTCTACCTTCCTGAAAAGAATTTGTCTCTTTTTTAAATATGTTATCAGACATATTGTCTAAAATAATAAGCTTGCTTTCTCTGCTCCCTGTAGTTATTTCTTTAACTTAATTATGTGGTCAAACAGTATTTGAAAGTGGTTTAGAACATGTATTATATGCCATATCATATTGAGTCTATATTCTCTTAGATTAGTGGGTCACATGGTGACAGAATCCACCTCTACCCAAATCCTCTATATTTTTGGCAGTTTGACGTTTGCCATACACAAATGATAGAAGAATAATAAAGCATTAAAAATAAAATTCTGCATTAATAACTTACAGAAATTGCATAAGTTCACTTTTCTCTGTCACTTCTCAGCAATAACTATCTGACATCATATGGTATCTTAAATCTACATCAAATACAATGATTACAATGTCTCTCAAAAATTAGACCTACCTATAAGTTGTAAAGGCATGTTTATTATCTGCTAATTACTCAACAAATAATAAGTTAAGGTTGAATGTGTTTGTATCAACAAAATTTAACTTACATTTTTCTGTTAGTTTTCTATCAGTTGAAAGACTTGATAATATTTTTTCTAATGAAGAAAGTCATATACATATGGATATATATATCTATAACATAATTCATATATATACAGATATATATATGAAACTAACATAATGCATATATACATATATATATCCATATATATGTTATGGATAGTTTGTTAGTTTCATATTACATATCCATAGTTATGTTAGTTATGTTAGTTTCATATATATATATCTGTATATATATATCCATATGTATGTATATATATATATATCTGTATATATATATACTTATTCATATATATATATAAAACTCATATATATATGAGTTATGTTAGTTTAAGGTCTACATTTGAGTTTGGTCTAGCATCTATTCTATATATTTATGGAATAGATATATATGTATACATACCAGATTGGATTTTATATATATATATATATATATATAAAGAGAGAGAGATGGAATATATGTATCAATATATATGTATATCTATAGATATATATGGAATTCCATATCTATATCTACGTAGATATAGATATAGATATAGATATGGAATAGATGCTAGACCAAACTCAAATGTAGACCTTAAACTAACAAGTTTTGCCAATTATAAGAGAAGTCTATGAAAGAGAGAACTGGAAAGCAGGCACCATGTGGGATTTAGAAAGAGACAAGTTGTGGGGAAGTCAAATCCGTGCTGAATAGCTCCCTAATACTTCCTTTGTGGTTAATCTTAGAAGCTCTTCGGTTATTGAAGGAATGTTCTTCTGAGCTAGCTTCTCAGTTTGCCTGTGCTTTAGGTCCAATGCTGTATGTAATACACCTAGTTTGACATTTTTACCTGAGCTTCTCTTCATTCTATGACTTGCGTTAGGTTCAAAGGAAATGGCAAAGATGTAGTGACACTTCCTCTCTGCTACTCTGAATCAAAGAACAGGACAATTATGAACACATGAGTATTCAAACACTAGATTTGCAATTACTGAGTATAGAATTAAGAATAATGTTTAATGTTATTTATTTATTTATCCTTTGGAAAGAGATTTGGATGAGCCTTATACTCAAATACCAAACATTTTCACATTCCCACTACTATTCTCTGAGGAGCCATGTTAGAAAATGGATCAACAACACAGATTTCTGTAAACCACATATCCAATAATGTCATTTCTGTAGTAAAGGAAATACAGTCCTGAGGCAACATTAAAATGTCTTCACAGTTCTCTAACGATGTTTATCAATATTTTCCTTTCCATGTTTCATGTGAAATCCTATCCGGGATGAAGTCAGAGAAAATACTGCATTCACTATTATCCAGTCAAAAAATTATTTTTATTCAGCAAGCGTA